ATCAACAACATTCACCTATGTAAAAAGATCATACAAAAGAAAATAGATGGGGAAATCTATACCATCCTCTGCTGAAGATATTAGGTTGCTTAAGTCTCCCAGCCCATTTTAATTTTAACTCTTTGCATTATGGAGGCCAGGAAAGATCATTAGAATCCCAGTTTTACCCCCACATACTACACACACACACACACACACACACAAATATAGAGAGAGATCTTGTAGCACCTTTGAGTCTAACTGAAAGAAATGGGCAGCATGAGCTTTCTTAGACTTCAGTCTATTTCCTCAGATGCACACAAATATATATAGGGTAGATGGGCCCGTCTGAGGCTTCAGGTGACAGGGTGATTAAAAAAGAATAGTGCAGAACTGAATAAGAACAACACACACACACACACACACACACAGATAAAATTCAAAGATACAGCCCTGCTGGTCTGTAGAATCAGTATGTAGAGAAATCTTGCAGCACCTTTGAGACTCGCTGAAATACAACTTCTTTATTTCATTTAGTCTCAAAGGTGCTACAAGATCTCTCTACACACATATATGCAGTGTGTGTGTGTGTGTTCTTATTCATTTTTGCACCATTCTTTTTTAATCACCCTGTGTGCATATTGTATACACAGCGGGTGATTAAAAAAGAATGGCGCAAAACTGAGTAAGAACACACACACACACACACACACACACATCTGTCTGTCTGTCTATCTATCTATTCAGTGGGATGGGGAGAGAGGGAGCCTGTTTTTTGCACAAGGGTGTCGCATTGGCTTCACATTCCTCTGGCTCCTTTTTCTCCCTTTCTGGTTGCCAAAAGCAGCTCCTCGCTCACTCCTTTTCAAACAGGGAGAGGCATTATTCCTCCTCCTGCTGCACTTTAACTTTGCTCCCCTCCTCTTTTGGGTGGAAAATCATTACCCCCACCAAAAAAAAAAAAAAAAAAAAAAAACAGGGGTGGGGGGAACTTTCCCTCTCTCTTCTCTTTCTCTGTCCCTTTTCTCCCTCCTCTCTTTCCCCAGATGCGGAGGAGGCGAAATGCAGCCACCGGCCTCCTTTCTGGCAAACCACTGTGGGTCAACTAAAGAGAGAAGGGGGAGAAGAGCAGACAAAGGAAAGACTATGGGAGCCTGTGGCTTTTGTCCACAAAGTTTAGCTGGCTTCTCCAGTGGGGTGGAGGAGGCTGAGCTGTGGGGCAAGGAAGGAGGACCACAGCTCTTTGGTTGCCCATTCCTCATCCCTGATTCTTGTTTCTGTGACTTGGGCTCTTGCTGCTTCTGCTGCTGCTGCCTCTGGGACCCACCCAAGCTGGGAGATGGCGGCAGCAGGGGGAGTGCAAGGAGGTGCTCCCAGCCTACGTGGCTCTTGCCTAGAGCTAGCTAGCGCCAAGCAGGAGAGTAATGCTGAGGGACTGACTTTTCTGCCTCCCTCCCTCCCTCTTTTCTTTCTTTCTTCTTCTTCTCCTTCCTCTGCTGGCCCTCAGGGTGCTTTCACCTGACCGAGTGGCTAGATGCAAAACTTGTTTTTCAGAACAGCCAAGCCAACCCGGCATAGTGGTTTGAGTGTTGGACTACGACTCTGGAGACTACAGTTCAAATCCCAGCTGGGCCATGAAACCCAATGGATGACTGACCTTGGGCAAGTCACACTCACACAGCCTCAGGGGAAGGCAATGGCAAACATCCTCTGAACAAATCTTGCCAAGAAAAACCCCATGATAAGTTTGCTTTAGGGTTGCCATAAGTTGGAAAGGACTTGAAAGCACACAACAACAACAACAACAACAACAAATGTAAATAAAAAGTTGAGGGAGAAAGAAGGACACCCCCCTCCCACCAGTAGCAATAAAATTAAAAATATCCATCCCCTATATTTCTGTTGTCGAGGACTTAGCTGTTTTGAAAAAGAGGTCAGAAAGACTGGTAGATTAAAATGGAGACAGCCTTCCCTATCCATGATTTGTTTTATTCTTGTATTCAAGCATCCAAGGCTTGAAAATATTTTAAAAATATTCCAAAAAGCAAACCCTGATTTTGCCATTTTAAGAAAGGGACACCATTTCACTATGCCACTGTATTAAATGGGACTTGAGAGTCCATTGATTTTGGTATCCGTGGGGGATCCTGGAACCCAGTCCCAGCGGATACCAAAGGCCCACTGTACCAGCAGTTGAAAGGGATGCTGTAGACCTATTAGTTTGTTCTTCTAAGGAAAGGATAATTCTTTAAAAACATATTTCCTTGTACTATATCCTTCCTCCCTTTTTCCGGCATTATGACTCATGTAGTCCTCTCATGCACACCTTTGTTAGTCTCGTCCTCCTCCCATCTATATTTGATACTATCTCTTCGCTTACACATTTCCTGTCCACTTCTGCATGCAGTCATTATTTTTCCAAGTGATGGAGTGACAGGGGAATGGAGCAAGTCCTTTGGGTGTTTGTTTTTTAAAATTATAATCTTCCCATCCTAGACAGAAGCATGAAAAAAAGGAGCAAAACTTGGCAA